TTTTTTGTAAGAGCTATTGGAAATTGAGCACCATAAAAAATGCTTAGACCTATTGAAAATAATTGATAATGATATAAAATGATATACATAGATATCAAATATTATTGCTTATCTGAGAACACCATACACCATGGAACTGGTTTGCAAAATCGTTAGCACTTAAGTTCGCCATGAATTCAGGGATCGCCATAAATTCAGGAAACTTTTCATTCAAGTAGTCCTTGAGGGACTCTTTTATTTCATCTTGGGTGGGATATATTACACACAGGAAAAGGCATTTGACAACGCTAATATATACTTCCTGCGAAAATGTAAAAACAAAAGCATTCAGAATATGCCAAAAAAAAAAGCCTCAGAATATGCCAAAAAAAAAAAGCACTCAAAATATGCTCTTGCTTTCTATAATACTTACGTCCCACATTTTGGGCGAAAGATCCTCATCTTGAATGCCTTGAGTGCCTTGAATATTTTTGTACCACATTTTATTCCTCAGATCTTGAAAATCGTCACTTAACTGCCTGATCAGGAGATATATTTGGTGGTTTTGAGCGAAGAGACATTCTCTGTTCTCAGCTTCATGACGATGATGACTTGAACAAGCTCAAAAAGGTAACAAAAAAAAAAGTTTCAAAAAAAAAAAAAAATTAGATCAAAAGATCGATATTCAAAAATCAAAAAAAAAAAAAAAAACTTTTTATACCATCAAGATTATGTGAATGATTTTGATTGGAAAATCGATGATCAGGCGATGCTGATCTTCCACGTATTTGCTGCGGCTGCGGTGATGATAATCGCGATGCACGAGAAGTAGGTTGAGAAGGTGATGGTTGCCTAGAATAAGTTTGCTGGACAGATTGTCTGGAAGGTAATGGTTGCCTGGAAGAAGTTTGTTAGGCGAATTGTCTAGATTGTCTGGATTGTCTTGATTGGGTTAGAAGAGATGATTGATGTTGCCTACTTCTACCACTCATTACGGAAAAAGTATTATATGCACTTCTTATAGATCTAGTGGATTTGTCAGAATCA